CTGTGAGTTCGAGGCCAGCCTGGTCTACAAGAGCTAGTTCCAGGACAGGATCCAAAAAAAAAAAAAAAAAAGCTAAAATAAATAAATAAAAAATAAAACAGAAATCGCCACAGGAATATGCTATGAGAGTGGACTTGAGCAACCTTTGATGGCGACAATGCTGGGGAAATAATGGCTCAGCTAGCCTCAGAGAGGGCTAAGCTGAAATGGAGAAGACCCGGAACTGGGGCTGGGGAAGGTGGTGAGGAACCCAGACATGGGGGTGCATGAGACACCCCGAAAGAGTGAGCAGAATTGTAGATAGTGCAGAAGGGAAAGCAAAGAGCTCCCCTGTCCATCTTAGATCCAGGATCAGGTTCTTGTACATTCGATATTTACTATACGACAACTTTGTGCCCGACCTGGTCAAAGCACATAAGCTGCACCAAGAATGGCCAAGGCGTCCTTCTTTATAGAGCTGACATTGTAGCTGGAATAGTAGAGTAGATAATACACACTCTAAGACCACTCCATTTTATAAGAAGATATTACCAAAAACTCACTCAGAGGTAGTAACGGGACTGAGAAGTCTTCAAACGGGAAAGATGAGCAAGGAAAGATGAGCAAGGAAAGGTGAGGTGAGCTTCAGAACAAATGGACCGTGTTAAACGCTGGTTTTCTTCCTAGCACCCTACCTTCCAAGGGGGACATCCTGAGATACAATTTGTCTTGCTGAGCAAGAGGACGGAGCAGAGAGGGATACACATTGGAAGGCCCAGCAAGAGCTAACTGCTCTGCATGGACATGTGCGGAAGACAGTCCCAGGTGAAGAGGACAGTCACAGGTGAAGAGGACAGTCACAGGTGCAGAGGACAGTCACAGGTGCAGAGGACAGTCCCAGGTGAAGAGGACAGTCACAGATGAAGAGGACAGTCACAGGTGCAGAGGACCAGGAGGCTGAGAGAGGTTGAGTGTGGGGCAGAAGACAAGGTTGTCTGCAGGAAATGGGATTTTCGAAGCAAGAGATATTCAAAGGGTGTTTCTGGGTTTTTGTGGGGTTTGTTGTTGTTGTTGTTGTTGGTTTTTCGGGACAGGGTTTCTCTGTATATCTGGAACTCAATCTGTAGACCAGACTGGCCTTGTACTCAGAGATCCACCTACCACCATTTCCCAAGTACAGGGATTCAAAGCGCTCCACCACAGCTGTCTGTCCTCCACATACTAAGATTACAAGCCAATCTGAGAAGCGTTTAACAGAGTGCTAGGGACCCAAACTCTGGTCCTCAGCGGTTGTGTGACAAGTGAGCTATCCCCCAGCCCCCCATCACTGCACGGTAGCCAGCACACAGAACGATGAGTTTCGCCGTGCGTGGCGTTTTCTTACATACGTACCCGCCATTACACTGTTCACACTGACTGTGTCCATCTCCTTCCTCAGCCCTTTCTCCCATCTAGCTGTACACTATTAGACAGTTCCCAGGTGTGCGTGCCATCCTTGCACGGGGCCATGCTGATCTCCCCTGTACCTTTCCAGCTTTTAGCATCTGGCAGCTGACTGTAAGGACCGAAAAGAATTTTCAGAGTGCTTGCGTCTGAAACCCCCTCACTCACCCTACTCATGAAAACTTGATCAAAACCACACCATACGCAGATGGACTTTGTGCTGAGTGTGTGTGTTCAGTGTAACAAAAACAGTTACAGATGAGGACAGAGCGCTCTCCTCGGTGCCATCTGGTGAGGTGTGCAGACTAGAAAAGCCAGGGAACAGTGAGCCAGGAGGATAGTGCTGACTTCTGAGGGTGCGGCCCCATTACGGGAGACAAGAGCAAGGAAAGATGAGGAACCAATGTGAGTCAGAATCACAAAGCCTGAGGTCTTAGCTTCACCTCGAACACTAGACCCTATTTGGATCTGTTTCCTGGGACGGTTTAGTCTTTTCATCTCTACTGGGTCTGGAATCACTGAGGATGAGCTGCTGGGCACACCTGTGAGGGTTGTCTTAACAAGGTAGCAGTCCTGATAAGGGAGACCCGAGGGCAACACTTTGCTGTTTGCCCCATTGCCTTCACATCTCATTGGCAACTTCGACTCTGCCGCCGTCACTGCTGTTGCCGCTGCATCCCTCCCCTGATGCCAACTTCACCAGGCTTCCAATGTGGACTGAAGACCAGTCCCTCTTCAAGAACCCTCTAGGCCCTCAGCACACCGGTCTGGTTTCCAGCTTCTGCAGTGTGAAGAAAGCCACTGTGGGGGTGACATAGGGTCAGTTATCTCAGCAAATCCTTTAATATAAACTCAGTCTATACCTTCCATTCCTCTCAAGAACCCTGACTGCTGCAGTTTTTCACTGGGCAGTGCCCGAGATGCCCATTGGCAACAACACGAGAGACATTAGTAAGCAAAACCCCTATTCACCCAGCAGGTAAGAGGCTAAGGACAAAGGGGCGAGTCAGAGGCAAGGCGGGGCTTGGGTGCGGAATGAGAGGAAGACAGAAGAGAAAATTCATTTTGCATGTAGGATCCCACAGATTTTGCACTCAGGTCACAATGTTTATTTTTAATAGCTGTGTCCATTTCCCTCTGCTACTGTAATAAATTATGACAAATGTAGTGGCTTAAAATAATGCATTTAATTATCTTACCATTCCAGAGGTCAGAGGTCTAATGGAAGCGGGCAGTGGTATACTTGTTCTTGCTGACAGTTGTGGGGGAGAATTCATCTCCTCACCTGGCCCAGCTTCCAGAGGCATCCCGTGTCCTTGGCACATGGCCACACATCATCCCAATCTGGGCTCTGTCCTCACATCTCATCCTCCAGTTAGAAAACTCCTACCTCTTTTCCGTAAGAACTCTGGTGGAATGGAGAGCTGGCTCAACAGTTTAGTGCACTGTCTTGTAACTACGTTTCAGAGGACCTAGGTTCAAGTCCCAGTACGCGTATGATGGTTTTCAACTGTCCGTAACTCCAGTTGCTGGGACTCTGACCCTCTCTTCTGTCCTCCGTGGGCACCCAGAGTGCATGTGGTGCAGAGACTACACATGCCAGAACACTCATCACTCATACACATAAACACAATAAAGTACTTTTAAGGAGAGAACTCTTTGTAAACCTGGGGATGGTGGCACACTACTGAAATTCCAGGGCTCAGGTCAGATGTGGTAGCGCACACCTTTGATCCCAGCACCCAGGAGGAAGAGATAAAATGATCTCTGTGTGTTGGAGGCCAGTCTGACCTACATAGTGAGTTCTAGGACAGCCAGGACTACATAGAGAGACCTTGTCTCAACAACAAAAATTCCAAAGAGAGAGAAATTCCAAATTCCAATACTCAAGAAGATGAGGCAGGGGGATCTAGAGTTCAAGACCAGCCTGGGCTACTTAGTGAGATTCTGTCAAAAACAAAAGCAAACAGCAAAACTCTCTTCTGGTCACAAAGTCCTACCACAATAATCCCCGTTCCAAGATCCTTTAACTTAATTCATCTACAGAGCCCCTTCTGCTAGGCACAGTGGTACGGCCACAAGCTTCGGGAACTAAGATGGGACACATTGGGATTGCTGAACAAACACGATGACTTGAACGGACAGAGCAGTGAGCTAAACAAAGGAAATGGAGAGAGTCTGAGTAGCCCACAGGCGAGCCGAGGCACTGCAGGCCAACGCCCAAGTGCGGCATATCTCCCTGAGCTCATGCCAGAAATGTCTACCATGTGCACAGAAGGCCAGCAAGCGATGGAAATTAATCAAGGCAGACGTTCTTTTTAAATTTTTAATCTTAATTTTTATTCTGTGTGTGCATGTAGATCTAGGCACCATGTGAATTCCTGGTACCCACAAAGGCCAGAAGAGGGTATCAGATCTTCTGGAACTGGAGTTACAGGTGGCTGTGAGCTGCCATGTGGGTGCTGGGAATCAAGCCCAGGTACTCTAGAAGAGTAGCCAATGCTCCTAACTGCTGAGCCCCACTCCTATCCCCAAATCGAGTGTCCTTTGAAGGTGGTCACCACCAACATGTGTACCAACACAGGAATACGGTGACAGCAGACATGTCCCACCAGGCAATCCATGAGGATGAGACTAGAGAGTATTTGCAGAAGGCTCGCATACCTGCCTTTAGAGAAAGGGCAACAGCCGAACATTCTGGAAGTAAAAGCAAAAAAAAAAAAAAAAAACACCAAATGGTTGCTGGCACAGGAGGAGGCCA